TCAGGGTATATTTCAAGTAGTGGAATAGCTGGGTCATATGGAATTTCTATGTTCACCTTTTTGAGGAAGCGCCAAACTGCCTTCCAGAGTGGTTGCACCATTTTACAATCCCACTAGCAATGTATACGAGTTTTTTCTCTCCACATCCTCTCCAAGATCTATTACTTGCGACCCTGTTAAACTTTGCCACTCTTGCTAGACTGAGATGGTACCTCTTTGTGGTTTTGATTTGCATCTCTGTTATTGCCAGTGATTTGGAGCATTTCTTCATGTGTCTGTAAGAATACAGTTTTATGTCTACACACACACACACATGTATGGGAGAGAGCGAAGCAACGAGGAGTGAGTTATGGTGGGATAGTCCATAGAGAGTCGTCCTGTGTACCCAAAGGCAGTGTCTCTCTAGAAGGTGAAATCTGCCCTCAGCTCCTTGGGGAAAATATGGGCTATTTCCTCCTACATGATTTACAGCAACCCAACGCGAAGTCAAATATGAGCTGATTTCAACTTGATGGCAGTAAGTGAGAGTGAGTCAATGTTTAACATTTATAAAGATGTGACGCTGAAGAATATCACAAACTCTGAATTTTAGTCCTGAATCAACATCAGTTAGCCTGATTTACGTACATTATAAATGAAAACAAACAAGCTGTTCTACAAAGAGCTGAGTTTTATGAATAAACTCTAAATCTTCTGAAAATATAAGCTGTAAAGAATTCCGTGTTAAGTTTATGTGCTTGAGCATTTGTAGATTCTTTTGTGGGCTTTGCCTATCAATGTCTTTATTCCTTGAAAGAATATATTTCAATTGTTCTAAACAGGGAGTTGAGGGGAGGGAAGCTTCAAAAGAAAAGCCTTTTTTTCTGTTTTAGAATAAGTGTATTGCATTTTTAATGTAGAAACCCTAGACCCCTTCTAGCTGGAAATTTTGCAGCTTTTTAATTTCCATTTTAAAATATGTCATACAGAACATGTTTGCATCAGGTAGGTTTTTGCTACCCAATGTGATTTCAAAAATAAATAGTATCACTTGGGTGCTGTCTTGAAATGCAGAATATCAGGCCTTCCTAATAATGGTGACTCATGGTGGACAGTGTTTGGTGGAGCTCCCTGATGAAAACAAGCTTGGAAGCAGGAGTGGCCTCCACTTCCATAATAGCTTGTCTCTGGAAACACTACGAACCTGGAGAAATGATGAAAGTTATCCAAGTGTTCAGGTCTTTTGTTCATAGGGTCGCTATGAGTGGTCTACGACTCAATGGTACTTAACAACAACAACAAACAACAGCAATGATCCACTAAAAAAAGAAATTTGTTTTATAAAGGATCCCAAGGAAGTCGATGATGCAACTCTTACTTAGACTATTTCATGACTGCTTGATTTTCCAGAAATTAACAATGTCTAAACAACTAGTATGTAAATAATTATTGCACATGTAACTTGGTAAAGTACCATATAATGTATCCAGTTGTTAACCAAAGACTTGGCCAGCTGGCAATTTCAGTCCACTAGTCTATAACCTGATGGAAATACAGCTGTAGAACCTGATAAAGGGTCACTATGAATCAAGACCAATTAAACGGTTATGGTATTGTAATTGCTACTCTATGTTAGTCCGTGAATACGAAATATCAAAGAAGAACTGATGCCTTTGGAGTGTGGCATTGGAGAATAATATTGGTAGACTATGGACTGCTCAAAGAACCCAAAGGCAAGCTGTTCAAATCTGCTAGATGTTCCGTGGGCGAAAGTTGGACAATCTCCTCTAATGAGATTCAAGTCTCTGAAAGTCCTCTGGAGGGTCTGCTCTGGGTTGGCGCTGATTTGAAGGCACGTAACAACAGCAGCCAACAGAACCAATCAACCTGTTTTGGAAGAAGAGCAGCTCGAATAAGTCCTAGAAGGAACAACGGGGAGATTTTTGTCTGACATATTTTAGGTATGTTTTTCAGAAAGGGCTTATCCTTGGTGAAATACTTGGCTGTGAAAAAGAGGAAGGCTTTCAATGAGTGAATGGATCCAACAATGGGATTACGGAGATGCTGAAGCTCCTGGCAAGGTTTCCTTCTATTATATACAGAGCTGCTGGGTGTTGGAGCCCAGTGACCACAAAGGTTCTCAAATTCACTTGAAGCAGTGTCACAAGCTGATATGCCAGGCTCATGAAACTAAATCAGACACATGAAACTAAGTAGATTTTTAAAAGATACACTGGTAAGATGATGGCTATTTTCTATAGATTTACATAGATATAATTATAATTGGTAACACATTTTGTGATGCACTCACATAGAAGATGTTGCTAGTTTGCACTTTTTTTTTTCACCACACTATCTTCTCCAGAGAACTGGCAAATTAGTATATCTGTTAAGACTGTCTTGGTCTGACAGCTTATGCTTTTTAATTATTGTTTGTTATGTATAAGTGTATTCTGCTAATTTACTTTGTTGCTTTTCTTCAAAGTGATCATGAAAAAATCCAAGATGTCTAGAAATATCACTGTTTTTAAACTTCTACTAGAGGTATATTTCTTCATAAGCATTTATAAAATTAAAAACAAAGCCATTCACATGTCCAATATGTACTTTTTATTTTAAACACCAACACAGTAAACACAATGACAGAACCATTACTTTAATAATACTGATTAACATTCCTTGGCAAGGTTGATTTATAATTTACATACACTATTATTTTTTTTATCCAGAGCTATTTTAAATATTATTTTAAGATACACTGTAAAACACAAACTTTAAATATATATGAGTTGCAAACACAATGTGCTTAGATTAGTCACCGATTTTCTTGTTATTTACATGAAAACGGTTTAAAGTTCCTCAAAATCATGTCCGCTTGTGTTCATTGTTTCAGGATGCATGACACGCCCCATGAAAAGGATCGTACCTGCATTGGGTTGTAAGTGAACAAAAGAAGCGGTGAGCAAAAAAGGAAAGACAGCAAAAGAATGAGATATTTCTTGCTTCATACAATTAGCGATGTTTTGAAACAAAAATATAAAGAAATCTATTTACATTTAAAAAAATAATTTGAATGTTAGCAGTTCTCTGATAAATACTGTGTCAAATCATCTCCTCAGTGAAACACAAGGATATCATTGTGCCTTACTAAATCCAGTTCTGTTCTCATAACAGACTTACCTGTCCTCCTGTTCCTGATAAGAAAGAAAAATGGATGGTCGACAATAACTTGTGGATACAGCACTGCCATTCTACTAATTGCAATCATTCCTGCAGAGAGAGAGGGAATGTAATTACATGTCTATATATGTAAGAGCCTAATCAGGGATGCCACAAACCCATTTACGCTTAATGCAAAGGCAATAATGTACAGGAAGTAAGATTCTGAAGATACAAAGAGAAATTGTGAAGGTGTTAACAGTTCTGTTACATTTG